GTTGTGACCTCCACTCACTGCTCTGCCTACACGCGTACTCTGCCCCATGCTAGTTAGGTCACACTATTATACGCAAAATAATGGTTTTTTAACTAAATTTTAGAACAAAATATTTTTAATACAACAATCAATTATTACTATAAAATTATCTCAAATTTATTTTGACTGTCATTATTCTTGTATTTACTATGGTGGTCCTAAAAGGTAAAACCTTCTACCCATTATCCTTCTCTTATATATATATATATATATCAGTCTGTTCAACGTATTATTTGGCCCCTCAAGACATTTATCTTACATCTTTTTAAAAAAAAAAAGAAAAAGTTTGGCCATTTTATCTTACATCCTTAAGTTGGCAACAGTTAATGCAGTTTTAAAAGATAGGACAACACAGCACTTTGTTTTGTGCACAAGCAACGTGCAGATATTTGAAGCAAGATATGTATCGGCAATTGCAGAAAGGTTTTCAAACAGCTTTTCCTCTTTCCTTTTTGGCTGTATATTCCATAGCTGTGACTTCACACAATACGGAAAGCAAATAGATTTCAGATTTTATTTGGTTTTGATGTTTATGATGAAAGATTGAAAATAGCATCTAATCTAACACCATAGCGGTTGTATTGGCCTATTGGGGTGATTAAAGTGAGAAGAAGAAATGGGCCAAAAGTCATTAATTAAAAATATACTAACATATAAGCAGTTTTCTCATATTTTAAATTTTAGAATCCAATCTTTCACTTCTTAATTCATTTCTCTCGTATCAAATCATGTTTGTTTAGGTTCTAAAATGACGGGATAGCCGTACTCATTGTATTGTTTTGAGGGGAGGTGGGTTATAATAGTAGCAATATCTCAAAACTTAAAATCTTATTTAAACTGAAACAAACGATTTATAGTTTATTCCAACCTCTCATTGGTAGTAGCAATGTCTTTTGCTGCCTAACCTTTTTTATATTATGAGCATTAAAGGGGGATTTGGCCTTGGGGAAGATGAAAAATGTTTATTAGAAGGAATTGGCTTTGGCTTACTCGTCAGAGAAAGGCAGAGTCCCTCCGGTGCACAGAGCCCAGGATAACAAACCTATATATATTGATGAAAGGTCAGCTTCATGGACCATTAAGAGAAAGACAACTGTAAAAGTAGTCTGATTAACATATAAACCCCCTGCTCTAATGCCTCAGATTTGGCCTTAAACGAAGGTTGTAAAATCCCAAAAAGCAAAAGCTGCTGCACAAACGGACACAGGATTTTCCCCTTTTTTTATTTAGATTTTCTCAACAAAATCAAGCAATGCTGCAGATACTTACTGTGACAATCGATGACAATAAAATCCCATTTTCAGCAAGTGTTCTTGGTTGGTACTAGTATGAGAGTAAAGGTGCCAAGTGGGTATTTTCTCTCAATTGTCATCTAACGCAACTCCCAAGACAATTTTTTAGAGTTAAAATTTTCCTCAATTACCAAGGATCTAAAGAGTCTTAAAATATTTTCAAATAAAATAAAATAAAATAAAGAGTCTTAAAATAATTTATTTTCAATACAAACTAAAAAATAATAATTTTGAATAATAATTCGGTGAAATACTAAGGTTGGTATAAGGTGTATTTGGTAACTCAGCCAAGTAAATTAGAAGGTTCAGGGATTTTAATGTCTGAGGTTGTAGTAAATTACCACTCTTTAATTGTGCCATCTTTTTGTTAAAACAGAAATTCAACCTTCTATTTATTTAATTTAATGAGTTTTTTTAATATATCTCTTAAGGATATGAATTAAATATACAGTTATTATATCTTTTTATAATTAGTTTATATAATAAAACAATACAATAAATTCACTTTTAATTTGTAGCATCAAAGTAAAAAGAGAATATTCCTAATTAAATTTAGATTTTGTAACCTATGTCCTCATAAAATAATTAACGTATCTCTTAACTATTAAATTATATACAAAAAGTAAAGTTTAATTTTAATTTTAATAATTAATTAATTTAATTGAAATACGTAACATTAATATTAAAATTAATAAAGATAAGTGTATATTAGTTTTGATTCTCAAAAATAATTGAAATATTAATTTATATTTAGAAACTAAAATATTATTCTATTAAATGTTGATATTTAAATTTAGAAATTAATTATATATTTTAATATATCAACATTTCATAAAATATTTTTTAAAAATTTTGAATTAAATTTGAATTAAATAAAAAAACTTATTTTAAAATTAGAATTCTAATTATTTTTAAAAATTAAGATTGATATATATTTTTCTCAAATTAATATAATTTTTTTGTTTTAATATAAATTAAGAATTAACAAATATATTAATTACATAATTAAAAGCACAGTTAAAAGCACATATTATCAAATTTAAAAGTAAAAAGATCATTGACATGTGGGCCAAAAGGGTAATTCTGAGGGGTCCATAAATAACCTTCCATCTTTGCTTGATAATTGCCAATCTTTCCTCTTTTCTCCCTCCTCTTTTTTTTTATGCAATCTTTTCTCCCTTCTCATTTCTTGGATGCAATCCACTCCAACACTCTACATGTCACATGCAAATTTCTCCATCAGGGTAATCAGAATCTCAGAAATTTCTTTTCCTTTAACTAAATTTGGGTATATTATTATTTCACTTAAAATGGGTCTTTTCTTGTTACATTGCACAAGCACCGTGTGCAATGAATCCCTGTATATATTAACCTTATTCATTATTGTCCCTTTCCATAGACCAGATCTTGAAACATCACCTCTCCATTTCACGGTCCCCCAGTCCCTCTCAATGCAGCACGAAGCCATTTCGAACTCTTCATGATAGAGTTTGAGAAAAACAAGAGCCCCCAACATAAAGACCTGTAAATCACTCACATTAATTGGCCCCATCTCCGATCTCTTCCCAACTCATAACTCCAAAATCCTTTTGTTTTTTTTTTTTTTTTTAGTCCCCACCTCGCTGTTGTCCTTGTACTTATATATATATCCCCCTCATCCCACCAGTTCCTTCCCATCTCGCCTCTCCTTTTTCCCATTTTTTCTTTTCAGTTCCTTCTTTTGCTTTATTCCCTCCCCCTCTTCTCTTCCCTCACAAACCCCTATTTTTCAAAAACTTTCTTTTCCAAATTCCAAGCCCTTTTTTTTTTTTTTTGGTCTATATATTAGGCACAAACCCATTTCTCCTCCCCCTCAAAACCCAGTTGCCATTTCTCTTTTTTTCTTTCTCCACGATGAAAGAGTATTGGACTTCTTTGGCTTCATTGTTGGGCGTTTTAGCCTTTTGCCAGAGCCTCCTTCAAGTCATATTTCCACCGGAGCTCAGGTTTGCTTCTTTGAAATTTCTCAATCGTGTGTTCCAACTCTTCTCTTCTTACTGCTACTTTGACATCACGGAAATTGACGGCGTCAACACCAACGAGCTCTACAACGCCGTCCAGCTCTACCTTAGCTCATCTGTTTCCATCACCGGCAACCGTCTGAGCCTCACTCGTGCTCTCAACTCCAGCGCCATCACTTGTGGCCTCTCCAACAATGACTCCATCGTCGATACATTCAATGGCGTGATGGTGCTCTGGGAGCACGTCGTCACTCAGCGGCAGGCGCAGACCTTCTCATGGCGGCCATTACCGGACGAGAAAAGAGGGTTCACTCTTCGGGTCAAGAAGAAGGACAAACCCTTGATTCTTGATTCCTACCTCGATTACATAATGGAAAAGGCGAACGAAATCCGGCGGCTGAATCAGGACAGGCTTCTGTATACGAATTCCCGCGGTGGGTCTCTGGATTCAAGGGGGCATCCGTGGGAGTCTGTGCCGTTTAAGCATCCGAGTACATTCGATACATTAGCCATGGATCCTGTGAAGAAGAAGGAGATCATGGATGATCTCAAGGACTTCGCCAGTGGGCAGTTGTTTTATCAGAAGACGGGTCGGGCCTGGAAGAGGGGTTACCTCCTGTACGGACCGCCTGGAACCGGGAAATCCAGCATGATCGCGGCCATGGCTAATTTCTTGAGTTATGACATCTACGATCTGGAATTAACGGAAGTGCATAACAATTCCGAGCTGAGGAAGTTGCTGATGAAGACAAGCTCGAAATCCATCATCGTCATTGAAGACATTGATTGTTCCATCAATTTAACGAACAGGAAGAAAAACAGCCAGAGCACCAAGAACTACTATGACCCCGAAGTGCGATGTGGGTCTGGTTCTGTTTGCGGTGAAGATGGAGGGAACTCCATAACTCTCTCCGGGCTGCTGAATTTCACTGATGGGTTGTGGTCTTGCTGTGGCAGTGAGAGGATTTTCGTATTCACTACGAACCACATTGAGAAGCTGGACCCTGCATTACTGAGGAGTGGGAGAATGGATATGCACATCTACATGAGCTACTGTTCGTACCCTTCATTGATGATTCTTCTGAAGAACTATCTGGAGTACGATGAGGCGAAGTTAAATGATGTCATTTTGAAGGAACTGGAGGAGGTTGTGGAGAAGGCAAATATGACTCCGGCAGATGTCAGTGAGGTTCTTATCAAGAACAGGAGGGACAAGGACAAAGCAGTACGGGAATTATTGGAGGCATTGAAGATTAGAGCAGGGAGGAACTTGAAAAGAGAAAAGAACCCTAATGAGGTGGAAGAGGAAGAGCAGGAGAAGAGAGCTTTGGAGAGTCCTAAAGAAGGGAGTGAATTTGAGGCGGAAACTTGCAGTAAAGAGGAAGAGGAAGAAGAGAAGATGAAATGAAAGCAAGCCCAAAAAATATGGTGAGGAAGAAGGCAATTTTCTCCTATGCAAGTCAAATGATTTAATTTTGTTAGTGGGGAAATGAGAAGAAAAAGAAATTGTTAGGAAATCGGGCCGTATTAAATTACTCATTATGTTTGATATAAATCTATCTTATTGAGTAGTTTGATAATGAAAATAATTTTTATATGATGCAAAGACAAGCTTATTGCCATGTGAGTATGGTTGGCCATGTGAGATTTTTCTAATGTGGTTTGCTTCATCCTTGCTCTAAAGATTGGCTTTTGAATTTCTTATTACGATGTGTATCCTTTTTCCTTTCTTTCATTCATCTTCTCTCTCCTCCTTTACCGTCTCTCTCTTCATATTTTTTTTTTTCAATAGTTGAGCACATGCATTGGGGAAGATCTTCTTAGGAATGGGTTCATTATTAGGTGGTAGCAGGGCGATTGTATGCACTTGGGATTCACATGGATAGATTAGTAGGTACATGGACAATATAATTTGAGTATCATTGCTAGTGAACAAAAAGGTTATATTATGTCCTACAGTGAATATAATCAATCAACAATGAAGGAGGTGGAGAAATGTTTGTCAAGCTTTGTTTCCTATTAAGATAGTTACAAGAATCTAAATCTCAAATTTCAATACGAACAATTTATTCTTAATCGAAACAAAAAAAGTATATTAGTCATTTAAATTGATTTAAGTAGACTCAACTCTCACTAATTTTTGAGGAAGTGTAAAAGTAACTAAGAGATTGTTTTAGTGTTGTTTTCATACACAAATTGTTGGTTTTCATTCAACTTTGATATATTTAGATGATTAATTAGAGTTTGAGCATGAGGTTCCCAAGCAAAGCTTTGATGAACCTAAAGTTATATATACTGCATAATACTCCAACTTGAGATCTCTTGGACTGTTGGACTTTGGCACCTTTGCTTTCAAATTTTGCAGGGGAGTCTATATAATTATTGAGTAATCCTCATGGGAAAAGAGGTGAGGAGTTTAATGGATAAGATTGGAAGGATAATTTCGGGATAGCAGCTAATACAAACAAACTAAAAGTGAGGACCAGATTTTGTGTTGGGAAAAGGAGGAATCGGAAAACAAAAGCAAGTAGAAAGTTTTCACTTACAATAAGAGAAAAGTTGACCCTTTTCTTGTTGTTGATTTTGATACTGAGTTGTAAAGGCATTCATGCTGTCAAGCCTACCATACATTGATGGATCTCTAATCAATTGCCCCACTAGGTCTCCAGGAGCCACAATGCTTAAAAAATTAAAGCTACTTGAAAAATATATGTACTAGTAGTCTACTGTTATATCATATGTTTTCCATGTAAAAAACATGCTTCGGTGGAGGCCATGAAAAGCAACACTTTTCTCTCAATGCATTGAACCCGCCACGAGTTTTATTCTTGTCAAATTTCTAAGTAAGGTTGCATTTAAATTTTCCAAAAAAGAATGTGCCGTATCACATTGAGATTTTGTTTAGATCTGCGGCTTAAATGTAGTTATGATGGTTGATACATATATAGTCATAATACAGATAATTAATAATTAATTATTCTAATTTATCTTATTATTATTAGATGTCGAGTCATGATAGTAAAAACAAATTGAACCTAACTAAAATATACTCTAATTTAAAGATTTTAGATTTGTGTCATGATATTCAAATGAGGACAAAAAAATGACTATTTGTCTGACCTATCAATCACGTTTATGCACCTTCATGCCCAAAATAATTCGAGTCTTTTGCCCTACGTGGAAGTTGAAACATCTTGCTCCGGGTGAAGTTGAAACATCCTTTGGATTGTTTTTAGGGGTGTTACCAAGAATGGCATAATAACGGGAACATAAACTTGGAATATAACAGACCCCCACCCCCACTTATTGCAAGATTTGGGAGATGATTCGTAAATAGGATATGTCTGCTTCACAAAATTTTGACTCTATCTTTGAATTCAAATTATTGAAACTCAGTCAAGATATTGAAGAGGCAGGGAGCGTACATTAATCCAAACCAAGCAAAAAAGAAGGAAAAATTATTAATAAAATAATTTTTTAAGAAGGTTAATGAAGAGACATCACTCATTTAGCATTTAGCATTCGATTCTTTAAAGAGGTTATTAAAAAATCAATTCTTCACTAACCCTTTAATTCTAATATAAATGACTAATCTACAATTAGAGGAAAAGGTAAACTTAATGCGGTGCACGAATATCATCTCATTACTGCTATTGGAAAGAAGCATCGCAGTTCATAAGTTCCAACTCCATTTGATTGCCCCCACAGCAAGAATTATTAAGGACCGCAGCTAATGGTGCCTCTTTGTCCACACTAGAATATTTTCAAAGGTGCTGCCTTTTTCGGCTAATACTTTTATTTTTTATTTTCAAAAAGACGAAGAAAATTAAGATGCCTTAACAATTAAAATAATGTTATGAAAAATAATAAAAAAATCAATAAGAATTTGATCAAGTTAATATTTTAAAAACCTTGGTTTGTAGTTAAAGTTAAATGTTTAAACTTTTACATTGACAAATATCTAACTTTTTGATATACTAAAAAAGAAAAAGGAATCATAATGGGTTAAATAATTAAAGATTCGTTAAGATTGGAATAAAGGTTAATCTTGTCTATATACCCTAGGAGTATAGGTTTAAGGTATAATTATTGTATTTTTTAAAATTAATTAATATTAAGAAAATAAAAATAAACCTTTATTATGTAATTATTCAATTAAAATAATTCATGTAATACCAATGGTGATATTAATAACAATTTTTATATTTTTTAATATTAATTAACATTTAATAAGGTACAATAATTATACCCTTATAAGTAGAAAAATCCTTCGTTCCAATAGATGAAAAAAGGGAAACAAATGAAAATCAAATATTATAAGGGATTTTAGAATAAAGGGGCATTTATTACATCTTTTTGTAATTAATTTATCTTGAAAAATTAAAAGTAAGTTTAATTTTATCAATCATCTAATTAAAAATGTACATGTGATATTGATGATAAAAATAAGAATAATTTTTTTACTTTTTTAGAAATTAATATAAAAGAATATAATTAATGCACCCTTAAGGATAAACCCTTATTATAATTTATAAGGGATTTTCTAATTTGTGCTAAGAATACAGGTTCAACCTCATTAATTATAATATTTGTAATTAATTTTGCATAATTTTTTACACTAGATTCAATTAAAATAAAATATATATTCCTTTTGTTTAATTTTAATAGATCTAGTTTCTTATTTAGGATATTCAAATTTAGTTATTTATTTTTTCCTTTTTTAGGATGTCATATATGCATTTATTCTTATTTTACTCTCATTTTAAAAAAATAATTACAACATATATTAAATAAAAAGTTTTATTTAAGAATACTTAATTAGAAATCAATATGAGATTTCATCAGTAAATTATTACATTAATGTTTTATTAGATAAAAAAACTAGGTTTATTAAAAATTAATGGATGGAGTAAAATTAAAATAAAATATAATATTTGTACTTAAATTTTATTTTAAAAAATATCAATTTGATATAAAAATTTGTGTAAAATTAATTAGTAACATTGTAATTAATGAGGTTTAAGTTAGTCTAACCCAATTCATAATACCTATACATTCACATTTAATACCATTTCTGATATAAAAATGTTATAAATAGTTATAATATTACGTAATATTATAAACTCAATATATAATGAATGCGTCATTATATATTGAGTTTATTCGTGATATTATACATATTTATTCATTTAATACTATATTATAATTGTAAACTTACAATTATATAACATTGTACTTATAATATTACCGTTTCTAGAAAATCTTTGAAAAACTAACCGGAATCATTTCTACTAAGCATGTATATATCTCCAAAAGAAATTTGACTTTGTATCCCAAGTGAATGGTAGCCGATCGATGATCTCAAACAGAAACGAGAAACCATGAGAATCTGATACTGATTTTTGAAAATCAGAAGAGAGAAAAGGTCAGAATCTTAGACCAAAAGGTGAAGTATAGAGAATGAGTCATAGCCGTTAATAATTTGATCATGCAGTAAAAAATTTGATTCTTATACCACAACCAAAATTGCATTGATTTAGCAAAAACTTTTGGTAGATATGGGGTTACAATTTTGACCATATTTCAGTAGAATCAGTACTTTTCTTGTTACTTATTTCCCATCTCCTATGGTTTTCAAGGTCCCAAGAATTTGAAGAAGCTCATGCTTCCACTTAAAGGTTGTTAATGAATTATAATGGTCCACTGTTGCCAGTGACTTAAGGACACTTGGTTCAATAGTACTCTCTTTGTTTTGACAGCAAGAGCTTTGAAGCTTGAATTATATTGTATGCAAGTGAAATAGATAAAGGAATGAAAATGGATTGCTTTTTTATGTGCTCCACAATTACTCAGAACAGTTGTGGTCAAATGCTAAATGATTATTTTTATGGTGGTATATGGGGGAGGGGGAAGCAAATTGGGGGCGGGAAGGAGAAGACCTAAGGTTCGAACGTCAGACGTTAAGGTACCATCTTTTAAGAGATAGATGCCTCGTTGTTACCTGCATTCAATCTCATGACTTGCTAAATAATGAATTGAGGTTTGAAAATTTTCAGTATCAAAAGTATTCAAAACCTTATCATGAATGTGAGGGTACCATCAAGTATCTAAGATGGACAATATTGCGAAGGTGTTAGGGTAGGGTTTAAGTTAGGGGCGCAAGTAGGTGGACATTTAGGGCGCTAGAGTAGGGGGTTTGATTTAGGGATGCAAGACGTTAGTAACACAGTACCTTAATTTATTTATTTTTTTTAAAAAAAAACAGTTAATATTTTATTTTGAGAAATCTATATAAGTATTGGAAAATGATTATTGGATACTTAGTTTAATACCATTTTTAATATTTGTTTTGATTTAATTATTAAAATATAATACATACATAGTCAATTCAATCGGTTTTTATATATTATATACATAATTATAGTTTTAAGTTTGTTTATCATTAATTTTAAACTAACAAAAATAAATTTTTGATGAGTATATTGTATGGTGTGCTAAATTACAGAACATACCAATCACTATCTTTGAGTATTACATAAAACTCCTAATTTTTATTGACCATATTAAAATCAGCAATACTATAGTTATAATACCATATAAAATTATAAGTTTACAATTATGACATAACATGACATTAAATGAATATAACTTGATATTAAATAAATGAATATATATAATATCACAAATGGACTCATAACGTTAAATGAATATGATGTAATATTGAACGAATGAATATATACAAAATCATAAGTGAACTTTTAAATGATAAGAACTATATATCATAATATATTATATTATAAATTTATAATACCATATGATATTGTAACTATAACAACATTTTCTAATTAAAATTCTAAGTTAAAATCATGGGTTCGGCCTTTGCCACTGTAGCCAAAAAAGTTGCCACAATTTCGGCCCAATTTTCCGTTTCCTTCTCAATTCAGAAAGGCCTTATGGAGAATCATGCCTGGCCCATGTTAGGGTGGTAAACTGTCCAGGGTCCAGGTTTTCTAGGCCACCGGGCCAAGTAAACTGTTCAATTCAATGATCAAAAAGAAAGTCTCTAGGTTCAAATTGGGCCAACTTGGGTCAACTTAATTGGGCCGACTTTAGCATACTACAAATCTCTCAACCGATGCGGTGATACCAAATACCCTTTCCCTTCCATCCCTCGCTGCCATTGCCGCGCAAACTTCAGTCTATCTGTTTCTCTCTGAAATCGATCCTCGAATTCTCTCCCGTTCTGAAATCCCCTCTCCAGTTTCGCTTCTTCAATGGAGGAAGATAAGGTAACGATCTTCCTCTTCTTCTTCTTCTTCTTCTTCTTCTTCTTCTTCTTCTTCAGTTCGTCGTTTCTTCTTCTCCATTTTCTTGGACTGTAGCCTCTGATTCTGCATCTTGTTATGTTCGATGCTTATTTTCATGGCCGCGAAATCTTGAGGAACTAACACAAGTAGCTCAGTGGTTACTTGAGTAACGAAAGAGTTCCATATTTTGTCTCTGCTTTTCATCTTGCTTTGAAATGTTCGTCATTGGTTCTTTCTGTTTACAATTTTATCTTGGAGTTTAGCTCTTTAGGTTAGGGTTGGTATTTTCGTAGTTTTTGCTACTCGTAACTAGGAATAAATTCTTGAAGCTTCATTTTCTTGGACTGTAATATGTGCCAGCATCTTGTTTATGAAAAGAAAGTAACTGGTGTGGAGGTGAGGACGATGATTGAAAGAAATTAGATCTTGATAAGGAAAATTATGGTTGAAATTAAAAATGGATGTTTCTTGGGAATTACATATTGTGATAGCATTATATTGAAATTTAAAAATATTAAGAGCCACATACGGATCATGCAACTTTTTTCTTTTTTATTTTTTTGGTTATGCATTTTAAAGATTATAAAATCTCCAGTGGGATCTGCAGGAGAAAACGAGCATACTCTTCTTTTTAATATATAAATTCAGATAGATGATCAATCATGTTGATTTTTTTGTTGTGTGTACCTGTTATTATTATTATTATTTAAAGAAGGTTTGTATTTTGTAATTAAACACTTTTTCGGTTTTCCAGCAGCAGCTAGGTTCACATGATGCGGTAGAAGCTGATGATGTCTATTCATTAGTTCTTGAGCTATCGGAAAATGATCCTTTTTTTGAAAAGAAGAAGGTCAGAGAAAGGATAAACATGCTATTGTCTCTTGCATTTTCTTCTTGATATAGATATATTAATATCTTCAGTTTTCCTTCCTATCAATGGTGCTTGGCAATATTATTGTAAGAAATGTAAAGATGAAAAAATAAATAAATAAATAAAAGGCAATTCAAGTTATCTGCTATGCTGATTTGCACCTTTAATTCTTGTTGTTTATTACATTTTTTCACCAATACTGAAAATGTTGTTCATTATTTAGGCCTTTTTCCTTTTTTGCAGAAATTACTGTGTGATAAAGGTTTCGGCATGAAAGAAAGCATACACATTAAGAGATCTTGTTGTCCTGATTCACTAAGCACTGCCTTGAAACTAATGCTTCAGATAGCAAGAATCATACATTTAGATGAGGTAAATTGTAAATTTTATTCTATTTGCTCATTGGTCCCTAGACTTATATGCTGTTTGGTGTCTCTGCTGATGACACAATGGATGCATGAAGTGCAGGTAGAACTTTATTTTGGTGAAGTTGATCCATTAGGACATTACAGCACCAGGAATGAGATGGAAGCTCTGAACTGGATTCTTTCACTGGTTGATGCCTCAATATTAAGTCAATTAAAGAATCAAAAAAATGGCTTGCAAGACTTGCGGATTGCTATTCTTAGTTGTTTCCATGAACTAGCAGCCAAGAATACGGAGGAATCCAAAGTTGATAAAAACTATAGCTGTGGTAAGGAGAACTGTTTAATAGATTGGGCCAAAAGAAAGGGTGTACAAACAAATCTGCAGATAGCTTGTAAGTTCACATTTAGAAATGATATTGTAGTATTTCCTTGTTTATCAAATTTATATTGCTTCTCTTTCCATTCTTTTCTTCTAGTTAAAGTTCGTAATTCTTCACAAGTCTCCAAAACATGAGAAGATGTTTTGGAAAATAAAAAGAAAAGCGAAAATCTTGTCTTTTATTTATCACACTTGTCTTGCTTTTGTCATCATGCAGATATCGAAGGAGCTGGTAGAGGAGCTATTGCAGTAAAAGATCTGGATGTTGGAGATATTGCTTTGGAGATTCCTCTTTCCATTATAATTTCTGAAGAGCTTGTTCATAAATCTGACATGGTAAGTTCATATACAAATACTTTCTGTCCTTATTAGTTCCAGAAGAGTGTGAATTCTACCTTTTCAAAACATGTAAAATGAACAAAAGGAGGAAGTAGATTAGGGTTCCAGTCATTAAAGAGGTTACAAGTCATCATTGTCTTGCACTTGAATCAAATGTTGTGAGTTAGTTTGCTTTGGCAATTGAAGATCTGGATTATTGATACACTGCTTTGTCTATTGCAATCTCTTAAGAACTTGTTTGTAAATCTTACATGGTTCAATCTCATAGATTTAGAAACAATACAAAATTACAAATGTTTCAGCACTTTCTTTGTTAGTTGAGACGAATGGTGCCTTTTCAAAACAGCTAAAATACACAAAAAGAGGAAGTTCATTGGGCTTCCACTTATTAAAAAAGTTGCTAGATGTAATTGGCTTGGTCCAGATATATCCCATGTTAGTTTGCTAGTAAAGAATCTGCCAATGGTGTTATCACCAACAAATCTATGGCAGACATGAATTGGATTGACAGAATATAAATTTGTAGCCAAAGGTATAACCTTAATAGAATTTGTCACTGTTATTTTCCTTTGGATGGGAAACTTTCATATTTTATTCATAAATTACTCTTCTTAGGTGCCTTCTTTATCTACAAAATTCTGGTATTATAAGATGTAGCTCATTTTAACTTTAACCGTGAATCTAAAACTTTAAAAACAACAGAGCATTCTGGATCAAATGACCCAGACATGTTCTTCAGCCATTTTTTCATGTGTGTTGAGTCTGCATATTTGGTTTAGATAAATCATGGTTACTAGTAATATCTGGTTCATGATTCCTTTTGTATGCTACTCTTATGAGTAACTTTACCAAAAGATTGCATAAATTCTTTGAGAATGCCATGCCATAAATATCTTAGCACTGAGTGAGCACACACTTTTTTATTGCTCTATCTTATTGCAGTACCAAATACTGGAGAAGATTGATGGAATGACCCCTGAGACCATGTTGTTGTTGTGGAGCATGAAGGAGAAGCACAATTGTAATTCAGATTTCAAGATTTACTTTGAAACCCTGCCTGAACATTTTAATACAGGTCTGCGGTGTCTGCCCATCTGCTTGACATGGTCTTGTGGCCAATTTTTTAGTTGCATTAAAATAGTTCCATGCATCAGATCCCAAAACATAAAAAGCAACTTGATTGAATTGGGATGTAAATTTAGAGCTTTTTTCCTCAAATTTAATCCTAACTCAAATATCAATTTCAAATGCTTTCATATTCATTTTGTTTGGCTTTGTGTATGATTAACTTGGTAGGACTGAGCTTTGGAGTTGATGCAATCATGACTTTGGAGGGAACTTTACTTTTGGAAGAGCTTACACAAGCAAAAGAGGTTATTAAACTGTTTGAGTTCAATGCCCTGCTTATAAATAGAACCAAACTTGTTGAAAATCTGATATGCCTGCTGCATGGAATGATAGGATTGTGCAAAAGGTCTAGAAGTTCAATGAGTTTGCATCTTTAAGTTTGTGATGGTGTTTTCTTTTGAAAAAAATTATAAATTTTCATCAGTACCCTTAAGGTGTCAATATAAGTTCTTCAAGATTGATATATATGGATGAACATCTAAAGTGTTGGCCAGAAAAAAAAAAAAAAAGAATGAACATCTAAGTGGAAAAAGATAATGATATCATGTTTTTTCCTTTCTGCAGCACCTGCGTACTCAGTATGATGCACTATTTCCTGAACTATCAAATGCTCATCCTGACATATTTCCATCGGAGCAGTACACATGGGAGCATTTCTTATGGGCTTGTGAACTCTGGTACTCTAACAGCCTGAAAATCATGTTTGCTGATGGAAAGTTGAGGACTTGCTTGATTCCTGTTGCCAGCTTCCTCAATCATTCTGTAGGTCACTCTTGTTTTTCACATTCACATTCCAGATGTCTAAGCTATAAACTATTAGTGTATATCTATAATTCTATATCCTATGTATTATAAATGATTGTTTTCTTTGTCTACTTGTATTTGCTTGTATTTATCATTTTTCTACCAACCTTTTTGCTGACTTCTTTTTATCTTTAAATTATAGATGGCAATTTTTGTGAGCAATTCATATGAGTATAAACATTCCCAAGGAGATAAATCTTGTCTATTTTGAGTCCTATTGAATGACTGTTCATGTAGAATGCACATTTCAGTAGATTTAATGTTGTAAAACAAATAATAGGACTTCATGTCATCTAATTTTCAGCCTTCGAGTAAGGTATATTCTAATTGATATTCTCATATTGGTCTTTCCAGTTATACCCACACATAGTGCGTTATGGTAAAATAGATTCTGCAACAAATTCCTTGAAATTTCCCCTATCAAGACCTTGCAGTGCAGGAGAACAGTGTTGTCTTAGATATGGAAGTTTCGCCAGTTCACATCTAATCACATTCTATGGTTTCTTGCCAGAAGGAAACAACCCATATGATGTGATTCCATTGGGTAATTTTCTTGATTTGTCACATTCTAGTCTGATTTTGCATCTTTGCAAGTCAGTGTTCATTTATTTGTAAATATCTAGTGCATTCATTGAGTAGATTGAGGCGTATCCTGCTGTAGATTTTGATGATGACCAAGCTGATGGTGTAGAGGATTGCTCCCTGTCCAACTGGACCACTCACATGGTTCGGGGAACTTGGATGTCAAATAATCATGACATCTTTTATTATGGCTTGCCGTCTCCATTGTTAGACTATCTGCGAAGGGCACGGAGTCCGACATCATGTACCACAACCACTGTAATTTTCTTTCCTTTTTTCTTCATGTCATGTGGATAGGCTCTAAATCTGTGGCATGCTATAGAGTTTTATTGTCAATTTCATTAGTGTATTGTATTTTTAGCTTTCTTATGATTGTATTTACCTTTGATAACTAGTATAGTGTTCCTTTTTGCTTAAATGACTTTATACTGTTATTCTTCTTTATAATCTATTTGGTATCTTTTGCTACAGTTACGTGCAAAGTTGGAATGTGATAATGAAATTCTTGAAAATCTACTTTCCATCTTCAGTGGCATGATGGACAGTTTTGGTGATACGGAATCAATCAACAGGTAAAGAATCAAAGTAGGCTTTGAGTGAATTCACAACATCTATATATATATATATGCAATTTTTCATTTTCATTTTTATTCAAACTCATCCGTGCAGCAGTAATGCCAGTTGGGATGTCAAGGTAGCAGTGAAATACAATGATTTGCAGAAAATGATTGTCTCCTCAATTTTGACTTCATGTTATTCTGGTAAAAACATGGTGAATCATGAGTTGTCTAAAGGTGCCGGTGAGGAGTGAAGAAACCAATGGCTAGAAGAGCTGCAGGCAGGGACTTCCTGACATGATCATCGAATGAGTTGTACTACAAGAAACAGGCACTTTGTGTTCTCTACTATGGCAGTTTATTGAGACCTTTTGATTGTTGGGATTGAGCCATAAGGCCAATGAACTGTGGGCATCTAGTCCTAATGAAAAATTTTGGAAGATGGACTGTCACTTCAATGATTGTACATCTTATTTGTAGTGCAATAATGCAAGAGCTTATACCATCATAAAGAAACATTTTGGTAATATCCTATTTGAGGGTGTGGTTATAGCTATCTATTCATTTATTGAGCCACAAAATTTGTATTTAATTTTACTAGTATTTGTAGTTTTTTTTAAATAGATATAATTTTTAAAAAAATTAGTTTGTAAATTAATTTTCATTTATTAAGCAATAAATATCAATTGTTTTAAATTAAATAAAATTAATAATATAAATTTAATAAATTTAATAAATTAATTAATAATCATAATCACACTTCCTATTTGAATATAGCTTTTTATTGTTGGAATGGAATAAGAGAATAAAGTCAAGGAATAGTATTGTGCTTGTGTTGGTGTATATTATTTGGATGCTAGAATTTGATTTGTGCCATAATTTGGGTGTGCTTGCAATCCTAGTCATGGAGCACCCAAAATAATGCTCGTGGAGGAGAGCAGTCCTTATCCTCAACGCTGGTTAGGCACCATCCCTACCTAACCAGTCATCTGGATGCATTCCAAAAAATATCATCCTTTTCAGTAACAAAAGTTGGATTTTAACTCTCTCGTTGAAACCTCTCGTTGGGTTGGTTTGTTTACCTGAACTCTCTCGTTAGCCCAAAATACATGAGCTCTCTCTATTGTATAGTTAGAGGAAGATTCTTCTATCTCTTCTATGCACATTACCATAATAAACCTCAAACGTCTGAGAAAAAGAATAATAACCAGGGTACTTTCTTTACGGTGTAAACATGATATAAATTTGTTACTATTACTTTAATATTTTATTAGTTTACATATATAAAAATTTTAAACTTAAACTTCGTATGTAAAAATTATATTGAATTTTAATAATTAATTATTATCTTTTTCTTATTATTTTAAAATTTTATAAAATATTAATTAAAATAATTACAACTATATTTTTTAAAATATTAAAAAGGTAAAATACCTTACAACGGTTATAGCTTAACATTCACAGATAGAGCTTAAAAAGATAGCCGTAAGCCACAAAATACATGGTGGGTGGTAATGGGCAAGTGATGTGCGACTGTAATGATGTAACATGTTTCCTTTTTATTTTTTTACTTCACTTGTAATATTCGGTAATTATATTAAATTTTGATTAATTTAAAATAAAATTATATTCAATTTTATTTGAAAAAAATTTTCTTATCATTTGTTTCTTTTTTCGCAATACTCAAACTCAAAATTTTATTTTTTAAAAAAATTAATTTTTTTCTATTTGAACCAATAAATTGTTTGATTCCTTCCTTCTCTTTTGTTTTTTAGCCAACCAACCTCTTTCATTTTCATTTGTTATTTCTATTCTCACCCTTGATGACTCCTCTCGTTGCCATAAAATAAAAATATATAATATATAAAATAAACATAAAACTATTGTACGGAAACTCTCATCTTATTTAATAAATTTATATTTTATAATTTAAATCATATCAAATTACAAAATTTAATTTTGTAAAATAAAATACTACTTGTGGAAGCTTCGAGGGACCCACATAAAATGGTTGGCGAATGGGCTGTTCCATCGCAAATAAAAAGCATGAGCCACCACCGGCACGGTGAAACGGCAGCCCACCTGTCCACCACCACCCTTCCCTCCCCTCCTCTCCTACCGCCGAACTCTTTATTTTATTTTATTTTTTTACCCAATTACTAATCTGTTTTAATCCCACTAATCTTCAGTGTTCTCAGACCAATAAACAGACGCCATCTCACCATAATCAGATCTCTCTTTTCTTGACGTGTAGGAAACTGATTTGCTAATCGTGGTGACAGAATATGGAACCTCAGGTTTTAATTTTAACAGAGAGAACGCAAAAGAAATGGCGAAATAAAACAAGGAATCCCTTTTAACTTCCGAGTTCCTTTTTCTCTATTTGGGTTCTTCTCTGTTTCCTTTCTCTTCCTTCTTTGCTTCTCCTTAGCAGAGAAGGGAGGAGAAGAGAAGCGACCCATTTGCAATACCTTTATGTTTGTGATCTTTTGTTCTGCTCTGGTGAATTAGAGATCGTTCTTGTTCAAGTCAAGATGATGGTTGCAAACAGTTTTGATTTATGGCAGAAAGACGTTTTCTTTTCTGCAGCCGAGGAGGTTCAGGAATCTGCTGATATGTAAGTACTATCATTTGGTTCATGGATCTTGGTTCCGAGGGCATGTGTTCGTTTTTTCTGGGTTTTGATTGCTCATTTTGTGGAATCTGATTCTGGGTTTATTCATTTTTTGAGCTTGATTTAAGGTGGCTCCCCTGTCAATGTTGGTTCTGCACCATAAATTGTTCTGAGTTGGAATTTGAGTAAGAAAAACAGAAATGAGAAACCTTTTTTGGCAAATTCTAGGAGAAAAATAGTGACTGGAAGAAGGTCACTATTATATTTTGGAAGGAAACTGCATTTTTCATATCAGCATGCACTTTTTTTCCCTTGCATTTCTCCTTTTTTCTTGCTTGCAGTGTTGGCTTTGGAACATTTTTGGTCATTGTTGGTTTCCTGTCTTTCTAGAATTAGCTTGAGGTGTATAATGCCGTGTTTTTTGCTTTTGAATTCTTGATGAAAATTAAATCAGAGAAGGCAGTTGCTTCATCATTCTTTAGAAGTGAAAAGAAATAATTGAAAATATTCCATGTTCAACTTTGCTTTGACTTTTTCGGTACCATGAAGGTTCTGTTCAAATTTAAGGTCTATAGATGTAGAAATGTAAATGCTTCAGCAAACACAACATAATATTAGGTTCCAGTTGTATAATAATAATATTCCATCTTGACCATTGCTAAGCATTAGAGGAACCGAATCTGTTGGTTCATTTTCTTGGGAATGAATTTTGTATGATTAAAGCATGACGATTGAAGATTCTTCAGTTTTAACTAAGTTTGTTCTTTGAATTTTTAGAATGGAATCAGCATACAGGATGTGGGTAAAAGAAAGAAAACAAGGGCTGACTACAACAGATTCTGCTGAACGCTGTAGAGAGCTTCAAGCTGCATTAGGTACTGCAAAATGGCAGGTGTGTTGCTTTTCTTGATACAAATTTGGAATCTATCTTTTGTCTACTTCTTTTCTGATAAATATTTTTAATAGGAGATGGACATGTTAGCTAGCATTCTTGTAAATCTGGAGAGAATTGAAGAAACCATTTGAGCACAATTTGCTAATGGAAACACTCAACCCTGCTTATTTGGGAATTCTCTTTATATTTGCATTGTATTTGTGTCCCTTTATCTGGCCAATTTTGTTCCTGCTAATATGATTTGCCATTTGCTAAATTGTGCATGTAAATTCAGTTGGAAGAGTTTGAGAGGGGTACACGGTTGAGCCATGGACATCAGTACGATGATATTACAGCAGCTAGGCACAAGCAGTTTATTGCAGCAATTGAGCACCAGATTTCTCGTGTGGAAGCTGCATTGGAGGAAGCTTTTATTGAGGAGGGAAAGCAACCTTTTCGTTGGGTAAATTTGGATGAAGAAGAACGGGATGATCTAGCAATGTTTCTCTCCGGAACATCCCCAAGCTTCCAACCTTCTGCAAAAGGCACTCATTTGGAGAGTTGTCACAAGGGAAAGGATGCAGATTATGACACTAGTGCTGTCTGTAATGGAGATATTTTGGAAATGGAAAATTATATTGGTGCTGACTGTATCATAGAAGTAAAAGATGAGGGAAGTTCTATAAGGATTGATAATATATCCTGTCAATTAGAAAAAGCAACTGGTACAAGGAGAATATGGAGTTCACCAAATTTTGATTCTTTGAAGATTGTAATTGATGATAAATATGAAGATAGGGATGAAGTGACAGAAGGTATTGAGGGCACACCTAAAGGAAAATGTTCAAAGCCTTTCTTTTGGAAACAAAGATGTCGAGAACATTCTCAGACCAAGGGGGCACTCAATTTATTAAATCAGGTGAGGTTATTATCTGGATTGAGAAATCAGGTCAATTTATATCATCCAAGGGCCTTTGCCTTCTAGTCTTCTTGATAGAGATGCAATAGCAAGGGCTATTTAAACAGGAAGAAGGGTGCATGGTTTACATCTTTTATGCTCACTACTTGTGTTACGACTGTGCTGTGTTTCTTTTATGATGATGTGTGTTGACCTTCTACAGACATTTGGCCATGTTGGTGGGTCGCAAAGACAATTACAAAGTCCAGTGCATCTGCAGTTGAGGTGTTCCCTTCAATTTACACTTGCTTTGATGATAGCTATTTTTTTAATTGGTAAGCTGTCTCCTGAGGCATTTGAATAATGTAGTCTGGGGGGAAAAAGTTTGAAGATTGTAAAACTATGAAGTAAATATTACACTAAATGTGGTTGGACATGCTAATGTCTTGATTTTTATTTCAAAAACCATACTAATGAAGGGTTATTTTTCTATCTTCTCTATGAACTGCAGTGCCTTTTGTGATTCATTTAAGTTGAGAGCAAGGAATTGCTAACTGTAGTGGGTGAAAAAAAGAGGTAATCCTGTTGCCTTAAATGTAGAGAAACTCATTTTCAATCACACGCCATGTAGATCCTGGACTGAGCAAAGTTTTTGAGTAGGATATAATAATGTGTTTATATCTTTAGGCATGTGAGCCTTTTTGCACGGACCAGGAATCCCTCTCCAACTGCAATGCTTATGATTCCAAACTTCGTCTCTTCAGTATCTTGGAGGAGGCAAGACTGACTGTTAGATCCACAGGGAGCTAGCTTGCAACAGAAGTTCGGGGTCATTATAGCTTTCCTTTTCCACACAAGGTGGAAACTGTAAATTGCATTCTTACATTGTAAGACATATGTTGCTAGAATGTTTGGTTGTATAGACAATCCTAGGCATCAAACAAGTAAATATGTCCGACTCGACAAGGATTGTACTGCACCAACAGGGTCATGGACCTGGCCTGCCATTTGTAAAGAGGTCTGACCTTGCTTCTGCAATAACATTGAATAGCTTGTTTTCAATTATTATTGCTCCATCCTTAATATGGTCATCCGTTTATGGTATGGTTGTAGTTTTTAGTTTTTAGTTTTTAGTTTTTAATTTTGGTTTTTAAAAATATAGAAATCTTAAAATAAAATTTAGTTTTATAAATTATTTAAGTTTGAATTTTTGCGTATTTGTTCTAAATTTAATTTTAATTTTTAACCATTAATTTTGATTGTTTGAATTTTAAAAATTAAAATTTCAAAACCACAATCATATTATATTAAATAAAGCCTAAGTTAATGCATAAATGGAATTCCAACTCCCCCCCCCTCCCCACACAAAAAAAAACCAACCAAATGAATTAAGGGGATTCTTGGGGGTTTGGATAGGGGAAGGTTGATAAAGTGATATTGAACTTTGTTGAGAGGGGCAGAGCACCTGCCAAGTTCCCACCTATGCTAGGTGTTGGTCCCATTTATATCTTAAATACAGAACTTTTAAAATTCATGATTTTGATATTATTGCTGCAATTCTCAACAAATACAGAGAATTGTGAGTGAACAATGCAAATCAGAGAGTTCAAGTTTTGTTTAATCAAAGTTCCTCTTATAATTGATTTTGCATCAATGCATGCATGCATGGCCACTTCACCCCAGATGTTCACAAAGACTGCTTTGGCAGTTATTCCTTTGGCAATTAAGCTATTTATTGGATTCTTTCAAGAGTTACTCTAATTTGTGCAATTAGGCTTACATTTATACTTGTACAAGAATTATATATATATATATATATATTTTTCACAACTCCTTTTATGTGAGCATAACTCTCTGAACTTTTCGTGATCGAGAATAAAATGTGGTCTCAAAGAGAATGACGGACTAACAGTTTAATTCCCTAAATTGTTCAATTGATGGAACGGGTTTCTGTAGCACATGGGTTGCCCCAATGATATTAAACTGATTGTGGTTACCAATATAAAAAAAAATTAAAAAAAAAGTTCTACAACTTAAATTATTGAATATAAGTATATCTTTAATATTAAAAAATTATCTCTTTCGTTTTATGGTTTTTGTTTTGTAGTTTGAACTAAAAAATACTCAAAAATATATATAAAAGAATTAATTTAAGAAAAAAACAAATTATAAAATAGCTAATCATTTATGAAAGTGTCAATATCAATCAGGGATCTCCCTTTTTCATTAATGATAAAGTGAAGTGTAGTCTGTATAGAACAAACTGCTCTTTACTCTCTTTTTTTTGTTAAGTTTATTTGGAATATAGTAGTTATTCTCTTTTAGAACCTTCTGCTAGATATAAAACTCTTCCATTCATTCTTCACTTTTGATACATATTTGGGAATAAAATCTTCTGTCACTTGTGAAAGTTGTGCAATCTATAGCAAGGTTTAAAATTAGTAGTTCTTAGATTACACTCTTAATATTGACAAATCTTTTGCAAAAATCTCGCTGAGTTTGTTTTCAGTACCTTACCTTTTCTACACTTAGATTCACTAGTTTCATATTTAGATAAAAAGGTTGTTTTCATATGTTAACTAAACCATACCAATTTTACCAGCTTCATTTTAGATTTGAATTTATAGATTGAAACTGAAAACCTCAAACATTGCATGTGGATGACCCCATGTTGTTGACTGAATTATTTGGTCCAGACATGTATCTTTTTGGGAACACTGAGACACTATATTTGGACCAATGTCTTGGGGAAAAAATAATCTGTATATTTTATCACAGAGATGGAGTCTCTGTCAATTATTCCACCCAAATATCATCTGCCACAATTTTATTAGTACTAGAGACACTTTTTTGGCCTTAATACTGGAGGTACCTTAAACAAGCAAAACTTGTTGAAATTTACAATCTAGATTTCCATATTTAATGATATCAATGGTCTGAGTTCACAAAGATTTTTGTGGGAATGGGAAGTATTTAACTTGTTTATATTTCATTTCTGTATTGTTAAGTGTAAACACAGTTAGGTGGAAGGGATTTGTACATTTGTTGCACTGTTTTGCTGGAACCAGACATAACATCAACATCTTCCGGTTTCTTCTGAATCTTTATCTAAAATTCTGAATGTTTTGTCTGTTGGTATTGAGTTAATCAGTGATTGAGAAGTTACTTGGTGACACCCTCGTGATGTTGATTTGATAGGTTAGCATACGCATGTTGAGCAGTAAAAAATGGAGAATTAAGCTATGATTGAGGGAGCAGAAACTATTTTATTGCTGATATAAATATGCATTCATCAATTAAGTAGACATGAAATACATATTCTCTATCTTCTCTTACTTCAGAAGTGGTCGATCAACAACTTGATTTGAATCACTTCAGGGCTTGGGATGTCTTGGAACTGGGGTTGGATGAGTCTTCACTCCATGATAGTCAATGTTGTAGACAAGTTCATCTGAATCATCAAGTGCCACAGGATTTTGGACCCATGACTGCTTTGAATCTTCAATTATGACCTGCATTTGAATTTTCATGGCCATAGACTCTACAATCAATTTCATCTTTTTCACATAATTGTTAACATAATGTCATGAAGCAAAACTACTCACCTTCATTTGTGGATTTCTGTACTCTTTCTGTTCAGGCAAAGACATCATCAGCCCTCGCATCGATCTCCTTCCTGGAATGACAAACAAAGAAGAAGAAGAAGAGGAAGGAGAGTCGATATATAAGGAAAAGAAATACAAAGTAGCAGTGAGGAGACTTAAGAAAATGAAAAGCAAAGGTTTCATTTCTACTGGGGAGATTGAGAAACAACTAACCCCTTGTATGCATGGAAAAGGAGTTGATATCAAACTATATATAGAAGAGCTTTCGATGAAAGAGGAAGTCTCAATTATTGTCTGAGGGGCTGCAAAAACGTGCATGTGTCTGAGACTCTGAGCCCATGCCATGCCTTTGATTCCATTCTACTACTAATTAACAACAGTGGGCTCAAGACAAGACCGAAGCAAGAGCCTTCATCTCTCTTTTTTTTTTTCTTTTGTGGTAATCAGAGAATTTGTACAGATTTCTTGATGGGATTCGCATTTCCATGTACCTTGTATTTCATTAAAATTTTTGACGATGAAGACTAGCGGTGAAACAGGTTTTTTCCTTTGGTCATGTAATTTGTTAGAGCAGGTTCAGGTTACAAGTTGTTTGTTCCACTCCTTTTGAGAGAAAACAACTTACGATTGAATCAACAAACCATGTTTTGTCCTCATCAATAACGACTAAATCTCGTTATGTCACTTCCATGCCTCATCACTCATGTTACCGTCTTAATTTCTGTCAATGTCTCTGGATTGTTGACTTACATTTTATCTTAAAATTAACCTCTTTTTGGTGTGTTCCTACAAAAAAGGGGTTAATGCTGTTATATGTTCTCTTGTTTGGAATTCTAATTAATTTTCCTATTTATATATTTATTCGCATTTTACTGTGTTTTGTTATTGTATAGGTCTAACGTCCACACCCACCCCCCTCCCCCCCCACCCCCCCACTCACAAAATCTTAATTAGAGAATCAAGGATTTTCAGGCGCAAGGAGGAGTAGCTCAGCCACTTCCCTCAGTGAAGATCACCCCCACTATGAGTACAGGAGTTCAAATCCAGGGTTAGAATTAGATACTAAAATATTAGTGTAATAATTACTTGCTTCAAAAAAAATAATTTATAGTTATACGGTAAAAACTTTATTTTACAAGTTTAAATTATATTAAATTACAATATAATAATGTTTGCAGTAATGGACCCCGATTGGGGTCCTATTCTGGTTTTGATATTGATTGCCGGATTGGTGCCCCTGGATAGTGTCGGCATACGGTACTAGTGCTCTCCAAAGTTGAAGCCCAAATAAAACTCTAATTTGAGGGCAGCAATTGGGGCTCCAAAAGTTGAGCAACATACTTTTTTTATTTATTTTCTAGGCCTCTAGGAAAATCAAGTGTTGAACATATGAAATCCAAACATGACCCAAGTATTATGTTGTTGCTTCCTCAGATTTGGGTATTTTAAAAAATTTTAAGTTATACAATGAAAATAATTTTTTTAAAATTTTTTAACCTACCTTACTTATATCATATAATTATTATTAAATTATTATTATTTTATAATTTTTTATTTTTACTTATCATTAAATTATTTAAATTATTAGTTCCTTATATTTAAGTATTAAATTATTGTTATTATTTTTTTATATAAAAAGATTGATTGTAACTTTACCACCAACGACATTGCTTATAATTTTAAGTATTAAAATGTTAAAAATTATTGTTCTTTACAAATAATTCATTCCAAGTAATTTATCATTTTACCAAAACATAACTTTAAAAGAGGGAAAGAGACCCCCTTTTATTCTTATCGTGCTTCCACAATCAAGTAGTTTGTAAACTCCACCGCCCAAACTCAGCCCCTTATCAATGGTTTAATTACGTCCAACAAGAAGTCAACATAATAACTCATCAAAGAGAGAAAAAAAAAAAATACACAAGAAGATGAAAGCCAAGAACAAATATAGAAGAAAGTATAGAATTTCCGGCATTATCATTGTTGACAGCATAATATTAGCCTAATAATGGTATGGCACTTATACTCCTTTGCTTCAAATGTAAACTTATCTCCAGTTAATTATTTCGCATAATATATTGATGAATTCAAAGACCTGAATTTCCATGATTGTGCTTTACCCACGCTCAGCCCAAAAAATTGCTA